TAAGAAACACAGAGCCAAATGCAGAGTTAAAAGCCCAAGAGGTCAGAGCAGTAGCTAAGAGCTGAGACTAAAACATTTTCTTACCTTTCGCTGCCGTTGCCTTTCTTCCCCTCCGAAAGACCGTTACATCTACAGAGAACAGTAAAAAAAGAAAAAAAAAGAAGAAAAATAAACGCTGCTGTTTCCGCCCGGTTTCGAACCGGGGACCTCTCGCGTGTGAGGCGAGCGTGATAACCACTACACTACGGAAACGCGCCTTGGCAGCGTTTTTGTCACTTTCCAATTCAAGACAGACGTTGTGTGTTCTTGCCGAAGTGTCATCCAGAAGTTGCAGATCCACATTAACAGAGAGAACCGCAAGGAATGCAAGCAAACCGAAGATAAAAGCCACAGTGCAGAGGCGACATGGCCCCGGAAAGTTAATAAATGTGGCTTGGGCGGCGCTCCAGGGGGAGAGAGCTCAGGGGGAGGAGAAGCGCGGGTGTAGGAATTCCCGCGTGGAGACGCAGCGTGCACCGCAGGGGAGTCGCGCACGTGTAAAACACTCGGAGGGGAGGAGGACGGAAGGGGCTGATCACCCGGAGACACCTCGGGGAGGAGAACATTGGAGACCTTTCGAGAGAACCCGGACAGGTGACCAAAAGGTCACAGCAACGAGTTAGCAAAGGGTTTACGCCTTTTAAAATTTAATTTTATTTTTTAACAGAGCTTAGAAATGGAAAGTGGAGAGTAGTAGAGAGGGTTCCACTCGGGCCGCGTTTGCCCACGGGACGCTGTGGGTGGCAGTGCAGGGCTCGGGGTAGCTCCAGTGAGGCGCACAACAGTCCTCCACCCACGAGCTTGAGTGGGCGGAGATAGACGAGGAAAAGGAAGATTGCAGAGAGGCCGGCAGAGAACTTCCAGCACGGCCTGATTTAAGGGGAAATCCTAAGCCTGGTGGCACAGAAGAGGTTCTGACTCAGCGTCTGGCGAGGAAGGAACAAATAAAAAAGCTTACAAGCATTTGTAAGATGCACAGAATAACGAGTGCATGAGGTGAATGGGAAAACTCACAGGTGACTGCTCCAGGGAGCGCTGAATTTCTAGGTGTGAGGTTAATTATTAGTCCTCAAATTAGTGGAGGTGAGGCAAAGACAGAGTAGGAGCACCTCAGTAGAGCCTTGGTTTCAGGGGTAGCATAAGAATTGGAGGATGTGGGCATCGATCCCACTACCTCTCGCATGCTAAGCGAGCGCTCTACCATTTGAGCCAATCCCCCGGTCTTGTACATATTTTCTTGTACTTGCTGTGTGTCCAGTGGCTCCGCTGGTCCTCACAAAATTGCCTGCTGTATCCCCAGGTTAGCATAAGAGTCAAGGCCAAAATCGTAGAGTCGAGATTCTTAGGTCCTACGGGCTGAAAAGTGTAGGGAGTGAGCTGAAAGTGTAAAAATAGAAAACAAGTAGTGTTTCCGCCCGGTTTCGAACCGGGGACCTCTCGCGTGTTAGGCGAGCGTGATGACCACTACACTACGGAAACCCCCTACAGCCCCACCATTTGTAAGTTTCAAGACATACATTTAAAACTTTCTGAGTAAATGGATTGATGATGGCACTTGTTGTATGTACTTCTGTCATGGACTGGCTAAATCAAGGTAACTAAGACGGCTGACTTCCTCATCCCCCAGCCCTTGGTGACCCCACCCTACCCTGCTGCCGCCAGATGAGCACTCAGAATCCACACTGTAAATAAAAGTCCTGTGGAATTCGTCCCTGGGTGGCTGGTTCACCTCACTTAACACCACGTCCTCAGCTTCACTCCAGTGGTTGCAAGTGACAGAGTCGCTTTATAGAAGGCTGAGTAGCTAACGTTCCACGTCTACCTGCTGAGTTTTCATCTGTCCGTTGATGGACAGTAGCTTCATCCTGTGACTTGATTGTTGGGAATAACCCTGCTGTGAGTGTGAAGGAACCAGTGTGTCAGAAGACAAGGATGCCTTACCATGGACAGAGCAAGTATGAGTCAATGACTGGCATTGCGCTCTATTGCTACATTTCTAAAGAAAGTTCCATGCTAGTGCCTTTAATGGCTGTAATAATTTACATCCCATCGAAACTGAGCAAGCATCCTCTTTTCTCCACACCTCACCAACACCCGCTCTTTTCTCGTTCTGGTAGAATAGGAGTGATAGAATCAAATACCTCAGAGGGCTTTGATTCTCATTTCCTTGATCACTCATGAACTGGGCACACTTTCACAGATCAGTTTGTCTCTTGTCTTCTTTGAAAAGCACCTCTTCTGACCCTTTGCTCCATTTTGTCAGGTTGTTCGTCTTCTGGCTGCGGAACTTGGTGTGTATTGGGTAGCAAGCCCTCATGTGAAGTGAGATTGTCCATGCTTTCTCCCTCTCCACAGGCAGCCTGAGGCTCTCTGGTTGTTTCTTTGTGCAGCTTGTGTTTCGGGATAAGAAGCTTGTGGTTTCTGTCTTTGCCCTGGTGGCCTGTGCTTATAAAATGCATCCAAAGCCATGGCCAGACTCATGGCATGCCGCTTCCCCCTGCGACCTTCTTCTGGCAGTGTTTTCAAGTCTCGTATTTAAGTCTTCAGCACACTTGGTATTTGCACCTGGTGTGTGAGATGGACTCAGTTTCCTTCTTCTGCATGCAGACGTCCAGGCATCCCACATCTGCGTATTGAAGAGAGCTTTCTTTCTCTGTTGTGCCCTCTCATTTTTGTTCTCTTTTAGGTTTTGTTGTTTTGTGTGTGCTTTATTTTTCTTGGAGATAATTCCACCGTATACCTCCAAGCTGGCCTAGAACTCACTGTAGAGCCCAACCTTATTAAATAAATAAACAAACAAAAAATCACGATGTAGTGGTACATGACTTTCATCTCAACACTGGGATAGCACGGCACACTGAGAGGAGGTGGACATGGGGAGAGTGGAGGAGTGGATCTCTGTGAATTTGAAGCCAGCCTGGTCTACATGGTGAAGTCCTGGTCAGCCAGAGCTGCATAGTGAAATCCTGTCTCGAAAATAAATTTAAGAAAAGAATAATATCTTAATTGGCTTTATTTCCAGGAAGACTGTGAATGGTGTGAGGATGGAGCAGAGGGCTGTGCATAGAGCGTGTGAGGCTGGGGAGGGGAGGGGTCAGGAGCAGAGGGCTATGCATAGAGCAGGTATGGGGGACCTGCCCCCACTTTTCCCCCAGGGTTCTCTTGAGGAGTCAGGAATAAGAGATTTAGATAGAAATATAGAGGGGAGAGAGACAGACAGAAACACAAGATATCCTCATCAGGGCTTGGATTTATATCTACTGACCCCTTCTGTCTCTTCTAAAGGACTTTTTATAGGAATGCCAAAGGGTGGAGCAAAAGATCTCCCCCTTGCCAGATCAAAGCACACTGCACATCCAAGTGCAGACCCTTCCAAACCCCTGGTAACCATGCACGTGGTCAGTCCATCCCCTTATGCAGTTCTGCTGGGTAAAGCAAGCTCAGATCTCACTAGGAAACCTCTGTGGGCTCCCACAAGCAGGTGAGGCTGGGACGGGAGGGGTTAGCAGCAAAAGGCTGGGAGGACTGAGATAATTTCCTTTCTACATTTGCTAAACATGGCTGTCTTGATGAAGGGGTAACGCCTTCTTCAGTCAGCTTCTGAGGTCACAAAACATTAATACTGAAGTTGTTCTAGTGACTGAATAATATGTCTAAACCTGTGTGTCCCTAAAGGGACACCACAGAGGAAGTTGCATTTTATCAAGAGTCATCACCAGGCAGGTGGTGACATCTGGAATTTCCCACTGCAGTTTCACAGTGGCCAAAGTCTCAGGCTGAAAGTAAGAGAAGATTACATTAGGAGTCTTCCCAATGAATATGAGGAATAGGGAAGTAAATGCAGGGGTATCACTCAACATCCAGGTGGTTGCTTTAGAGATCCAAAGATGGAAGGGTTTTTGGAGGCTCACCTCTCTCCTTTTGACAGGTCAGGCCATGTTTACCTGTAGAGATTCTAAGGCAGCTGGAGGCATAACTGTAACGGGAGGCCTGGTGTCGTGTGTTTGAAGCAGAAGAGGGCAAGAGTGTGAATCATAGATGCTTTGCCCTGCACCAGCCACACAAGGGCGTTAGAAAGGTGGGAGTGGGCAGCCCCAAGCAATGGTACTGACCTCGGAATTTCTACCCCAGGAGCACTCCTCCTCTTCCAACCTTACTTTTACTTACACAGAGACATGCAGACACACACACACACACACACACACACTAGGTTTATTCACCAACAATGATACAATTTAGAATTCTAACATACTGTGAAAACAAAAACAAAGTTTCTCAGAATTTTCAGATAGATTCTTGGCATGCTACTTTTTGAGATTCGGGGCAATACATGCCAAGTATCTAGAGTATTTTAAATTGTGACATTTTAAACATACTTTTTAAATAATAAAATACCTTAAGTATTGTAGTACAAAGAACTACATCGCACAGGAATATTCAATGAAAAACAGAATTTAAAAAGTCTTCCCAATTAAAACAAACAAACAAATAAAACTTTGAGTTTTACTTCCCTACAAGGGTATAGAACAGCCATAAGAGAGAAGACCTGCTTAGAAGTGCCAACTCCAGTCTCCTTTTCTGGCCTGCACTTACTCAGTGATCCACTTTCTTAAGGCTGACATCTGCTGCTCTTCCTGACATTTGTCTACCCTCCAGCTTCTCAGCTTAGTAGATGTAAACAGCCTTTTGTTTTTAATTCCTTTACATATATTTATTAGGAGGCTGGGGACGAGTGAATGGCTGTGTGGGAAATCCAGACAAATGCGGGAATTGGTTCTCTCCTCCCACGTGGATTCCAAAGAACAAACTCAGGTCATCAGGCTTGGCAGCAAGTACTTTTACTGCTGAGTTCTCTCACTGGTCCCAGATCACCGCTCTTGAAGCCCCATTTTCTGACAGATTCAAATCCCTAACCTCACTAGGAGGGAGGAACCTGGTTTAGGGGTCTGTTTTTCAAACAGGGGTCTGAAACCGATAGGCACGATCTTTTCTGTTATCCCAACACTTTGAGGTGGAGCAGGATTGAGAATTCAGGACCATCCTGGTCTACCTAGGCAGGCCCAAGCCAGCGAGGACTATGTAGTGGGGCCCTATCTCTAAGTAAGGAAACAACAGAAAAACTTCTCAATCCGACTGAATTAATTTTCATTGGGTTGGGTTCCTGCCTGTCCTCGGGAGGGCAGCAAATGCTCCAACTGTGATGCTCCTCACATGGCTTGCTCAGCTGTCCCCGCCCCCCTTTTCCTGGCTCATTCCTTGATGCAACATTCCCGGTGTCTACAGTAACTGACTCAGGCTGGAGCAAAAATGTCATCACCAGGAAAAAGGTTAACTCACGGTCTAGGTAGCTCACAGCCATGTGACCTTGTGCTATCCCAAGCCAGGTGTTTAAATGAAGAAAGCACAGTGGTGACTATACACCTACAGTGATGTTTTTCTCTTCTCAAGTAAGGCTTTGCTCTTCTCTCTGTCTAGCCTGACACAATTTCCATTTTGACTTTTTACTTTCAGGATTTTCTTTCCATTTCAAGTGGCTGTTTATCCTTGGGGGGTAGAGTTGGTGCTGGGCCTGTAGTAATTAAGAGTAAAGATTTTGACAGTCAAGCAGGGCTGGGCTCCAGTCAATAGAGAAGCAGTCCTCAAAGGAAGGCCAGAACATCTGGAATATGGAGGTGGGAGATCTTGCTGACCTTCCGAACACGGATTGCCTGTCACTGACTTGAACTTCTCATTAGGTAGTAGTCAGAGGAATTCATAGATATGACAGGATAAAAGGGTAGATTATTGATCTACTTTTAAAGAGCAACAACTTGTTTAAAATATTTTGCATTCTATGGATTTTAGTTTGTTGATACAAATTTAAAGTTAATTTTGTTATAGTGTATGTACATTTCTACTCTTGTTTAAGGTATGTTTGTGCAGCTCATTTGAAATTGTAAAGTATTATTAAGAAATACAGATTAATAGTTAATCATGTATGATAATAAAACTTATAATCATATTAGTTGTTTTTTAGGTATTCAAAGATATATTTCAGATAGATAGGTAATCTTCAAACACTTCAGAGACCTATAGAACATGGCATTTAAAATGTTTTAAAAACTTGGGCGGTGGTGGCGCACGCCTGTAAAATGTTTTAAAAACTTAGACTATCTAGGCATTGAGACACGTCTTCTCCTGGCAGCACCGATCTACTTCAGAGAAGTTGATGGGTATTGAAGAAACTCCATATGGAGTTTGCTTTAGTTATGACAAAAGTTAGCCATTTGGGCAAGAAACTGTTCTTGCCTGGACTACTTGACAAAATACTGTATAAACTGGACATACAGGACCCATAGGAAGATGACCACTAAACT